AAAGGAAAAAAAAAAAAAAAAAAAAAAAAAAAAAAATATTGTCACAACTGTGATAAACCTCTGGTTTCTAAAAGTGCCAGTCAGTTAAAAATGGTAGAGAGCTAGTAACTGTGAGATTAGCAAGGCTGATTGAAATTTGCCTTAGTAGCAGATGGCGACTAAGACTCTGCCGGAAGAATGCTGAAGTTTAGGTCCAATAAATGCATGACAGTGAGCACTTTTATGTTTGTAAGTGTAATGTCTGGAATACAATTAAAATGTCCGGTGGAAGAGGAATAAAACTTGATTATATAATCAAAGTTGAGCCTTTATTTTTAATAATACAAAGCAATGTTGCATGGAAAATATATATTAAATGTACTAATTTTATTTCCTTTTTTACTCACCGTTGATTTAGGGTGGGTTTGTGTCATTTCAGAAGCCATTTGGATATGCTTTCAGACATTATAAGTCCCGGCCATCTAGAAGACGTAAATCCCAGAAAATGAGGAAACAGGGGCCTCCCAGTTCATTCTCCTACCGTGAAAGTTATAGCCCAACTTCACCAGTGAGGAGGCGGGAGATGGATTCCCAGAGCATCCCAGAAGGGGGATTTAATCAGTCGGAGGAATCCCAGGAAGCAAAGAAGGAGGCACTGGTCATGGAGCAGGAGCAGAAGGAGCAGGAGATGTTCTTCAGCCTGAGTCCTCGAAGCTTGTCTGCAGATGCATATCAGCCTCCTGTCGTGCCTGATAACCCTCTGCCTGGCACTTCTTTACTGCCCTCCGGTACCAGCCCAGGGGCAGCTAACAACAACAGCATCCTTCCAAATGCCCCGGCTTCCGGGGCAGCACCTGCAGCCCTGCTGACCCAGGGAGAGTCCAGTTCAGTATATACCTGTGAAATGAAGAGTCACTCAGTCTTCCTGGGGAAGAAACATACTGTACCATCTATCTACGGCCCTTCTGGTTGTGGTGAGTTTGCAGTGACACACATTACAAATAGCACTATTGAACCATATTCATCAGCATCCTTGATGCACGGTAGTGGAAGCTGTGTGTTTTCTTTTGAGGGATGGTTTTAGGTGATACTCATAACGATAACTTTTATCGAGTGCCTGTTACGTGTGGGACTCTAAGGTTACTTCTGAAGCTGCTTCTGTTGTTTGGGGGAGGTCAGATGGGACGCTCCTGTGCAGCCATCCTTACAGCATCTTCACACAGGCCTTCACTAGATTTTACAGTTTTATCCTTCACTCCTTGCTGGGGTACTTAACAGAAGATTCGAGGAATGAGACCGTTACTCCATACCTAATAATATCTCTTCTTTCAGCATAATGAGCAGGTCATGTATGATTTGTCTTTCTTTGTCCCCATTGAAGCTACAAGTTCACCAGTGGAGCCTGACCCCTATGTCTCTGAGGACCCTTCAGCCTGGTCTGTGGATGAAGTGATCCTGTTTCTGCAACATACAGATCCTCAGTCATTAGGCCCGCTCGCCAACCTCTTCAGGCACCATGTAATGTACCTTTTTCTCCAGTTTTCCTACCGTAATGCCTTTGAATGACCTCTGTGCAGGCCTTTCAGTGGGATACAGAGTCATGTGGATGGTGGGGGCTCCCTATCAACTGATTTTTCCATATGTGAGAAAGGTTAGATCCTTAAATGGTAGGTTCACAATCTATTCTTTCAATGGGTGTCCAAATGCGTAATATACTAAACAGCCTCAAGTACCCAAGAGATGATGATTCAGCTTCGCCACCCTCAGGAGGACCTCCCTTTTGTGATGACAGATACAAGGACCCCCCACCCACACATACACACACCTGCTCCCGGCTCAGCCCCAGGGCCATGTGGAGGAGGGGCTGACCACAAGCGGTAACAGGGTGGCCTTCTTGTTATGACACCCAATGAATCCAGAAACTGATTCCATTGGCTCTGTTAATGTTATATGGTTATTCACCATTTGTGATGCAGATACCCTCCTGCTTACAAGGAAACCTCATGGGCTACATTTTTCTAAGTTCTCTTTTCTTTAAATTTCTTGTTGTACTTGGTCGGAAACGTATAAATGTTGCGTGACAGAGGTAATGTTGCGTGACAGAGGTGGTGTCGCAAGGGTATTCAGGTCTTTTCAGACAGTGATACATGATTAAGTAAATGTTTCTTTTTAAACTGGAATTTGTGAAAGCCCAATAATGTGCTTCAGCAGTAGAAGTTGGTCCATTAACATAACAAGAACTTTTAGGAGGATGCCTTGTGACTATCGAGTAATATTTTGAC